GACCCCATGATCCCCTATTGCCCGGGCCCCATGATCCCCTATTGCCTGGGGGACCCCATGATCCCCTATTGCCCGGGGGCCCCATGATCCCCTATTGCCTGGGGGACCCCATGATCCCCTATTGCCTGGGGGGCCCCATGATCCCCTATTGCCCGGGACCCCATGATCCCCTATTGCCCGGGGGCCCCATGATCCCCATGGGGGGGACCCCATGATCCCCTATTGCCCGGGGGCCCCATGATCCCCTATTGCCCGGGGGGCCCCATGATCCCCTATTGCCCGGGGGGCCCCATGATCCCCTATTGCCCGGGGGGCCCCATGATCCCCTATTGCCCCCCATGATCCCCTATTGCCCGGGGGGGCCCCATGATCCCCTATTGCCCGAGGACCCCATGATCCCCTATTGCCCGGGGGGCCCCATGATCCCCTATTGCCCGGGGGACCCCATGATCCCCTATTGCCGGGGGACCCCATGATCCCCTATTGCCCGGGGGCCCCATGATCCCCTATTGCCCGGGGGCCCCATGATCCCCTATTGCCCGGGGGCCCCATGATCCCCTATTGCCTGGGGGGCCCCATGATCCCCTATTGCCTGGGGGGCCCCATGATCCCCTATTGCCTGGGGGACCCCATGATCCCCTATTGCCTGGGGGGCCCCATGATCCCCTATTTCCTGGGGGGGCCCCATGATCCCCTATTTTCCGGGGGCCCCATGATCCCCTATTGCCCGGGGGCCCCATGATCCCCTATATTCCGGGGGCCCCATGATCCCCTTTTGCCCGGGGGCCCCATGAGTTGTCAGTCCGCCCCTGATCGATATATATATAATTTAAATCATATTAAAATAATATATATATCAAGATGATTTCTAGTATAATAATTAACTTTATATATATAATTATTATAATAATATCAATAATATAATCTATATATAAAAGAAAGTGGGGAAAAAAAAAAATATATATATATATACATACAGTGCAGGAAATGTGTATTTGCTCCCGGCTGATGCTGAATGCCCCTCACACAGAAACAATGTCTTCGCCCTCACACAGAAACGATCGGTCTAACAATGGAATGTTCGCCAATGGAATGTTCGCCCCTCACACAGAAACGATCGGTCTAACAATGGAATGTTCGCCCCTCACACAGAAACGATCGGTCTAACAATGGAATGTTCGCCCCTCACACAGAAACGATCGGTCTAGCAATGGAATGTTCGCCCCTCACACAGAAATGATCGGTCTAACAATGGAATGTTCGCTGTAACACTGAGAGACAGAATACAACAACAAATTCAGCAGAAATGCATCTAACAAATGATGACGGATCTGCATGTTCATGAGGGAAAGAAGGATTGGATCCCCTTCACAAAACATGACTTAGTACTTGGTGGCCAATCCCTTGTTGGCCATCACAGAGGTCAGACGTTTCCTGGAGTTGGCCCCCAGGTTCGCACACATCTCAGGAGGGATTTTGGCCCACTCCTCTTGGCAGATCCTCTCCAAGTCATTAAGGTTTTGGTGGCTGACGTTTGGCAACTCGAACTTTCAGCTCCTCCACAGATTTTCCATCGGATGAAGGTCTGGAGACTGGCTAGGCCACTCCAGGACCTTAATGTGCTTCTTCTTGAGCCGCTCCTTTGTTGCCTTGGCCGTGTGTTTTGGGTCATTGTCATGCTGGAACACCCATCCACCACCCAATTTTCAATGCCCTGGCTGAGGGAAGAAGGTTCTCCCCAAGATTTGAGGGTACATTGCCCCGTCCATCGTCCTTTGATGCGGTGCAGTTGTCCTGTCCCCTTAGCAGGAAAACACCCCCAAAGCAGAATGTTTCCACCACCATGTTTCACAGTTGGGATGGTGTTCTTGGGGTCATAGGCAGCATTCCTCCTCCTCCAAACACGGCGAGTTGAGTTGATGCCAAAGAGCTGGATTTTGGTCTCATCTGACCACAACACTTCCCACCAGTCCTCCTCTGCATCATTCAGATGTTCAGTGGCAGACTTCAGACGGGCTGGACATGGGCTTTCTTGAGCAGAGGGACCGTGCGGGCACTGCAGGATTTCAGTCCTTGTCGGCGTAGTGTGTTACCAATTGTTTTCTTGGTGACTGTGGTCCCAGCTGCCTGGAGATCATTGACAAGATCCTCACGTGTAGTTCTGGGATGATTCCTCACTGTTCTCATGATCATTGACACCCACGAGGTGAGATCTTGCATGGTGCACCAGACCTAGGGAGACTGACACTTGTTTTGTGTTTCTTCCATTTGTGAATGATTGCACCAACTGTTGTCACCTTCTCACCAAGCTGCTTGGCCATAGTTTGGTAGCCCAGTCCAGCCTTGTGTAGGTCTACCATCTTGTCCCTGACATCCTTGGACAGCTCTTTGGTCTTTGCCGTGGTGGAGAGTTTGGAATCTGATGGTTTGATGGTTCCTGTGGACAGGTGTCTTTTATACAGGTAACACAATGAGATTAGCAGCACTCCCTTTAAGAGACTGCTTCTAATCTCAGCTTGTTACCTGTATGAGAGACACCTGGGAGCCAGAAATCCTGCTGAATGATAGGGGATCAAATCCTTCTTTCCCTCATGAACATGCAGATCCGTCATCATTTGTTAGACGCATTTCTGCTGAATTTGTTGTTGTATTTTGTCTCTCAGTGTTACACACCAACATTCCATTGTTAGACCGATCGTTTCTGTGTGAGGGGCGAACATTCCATTGTTAGACCGATAATTTCTGTGTGAGGGGGAACATTCCATTGTTAGACCGATCGTTTCTGTGTGAGGGGGGAACATTCCATTGTTAGACCGATAATTTCTGTGTGAGGGGGAACATTCCATTGTTAGACCGATCGTTTCTGTGTGAGGGGCGAACATTCCATTGTTAGACCGATCGTTTCTGTGTGAGGGGCGAACATTCCATTGTTAGACCGATCGTTTCTGTGTGAGGGGCGAACATTCCATTGTTAGACCGATCGTTTCTGTGTGAGGGGCGAACATTCCATTGTTAGACCGATCGTTTCTGTGTGAGGGGCGAACATTCCATTGTTAGACCGATCGTTTCTGTGTGAGGGGCGAACATTCCATTGTTAGACCGATCGTTTCTGTGTGAGGGGCGAACATTCACCATCAGAGGGGAGCAAATACACATTTCCTGCACTGTATAATATATATATAAGGTGATTGATCATATTTGATATTTATTATTATATGAAATAAAGTGATATAATAATATTAAAAAATAATATATTTGAGGCACCAGACAAAGTCCTAAGTGAGGTTTAGTTCCTGTGGGGGCGCTGTGTACGGTATGTGGGCGCTGTCGTGTGTACGGGTTGGGCCCTTGTAGTCGTTGGATGTGGGCCCTGTGTGTGTACTGTGTAATGTGGGCCCTGTGTACGGGATGTGGGCGCTGTGTACGGGATGTGGGCGCTGTGTACGGGATGGGGCGCTGTGTACGGGATGGGGGCGCTGTGTACGGGGTGTGGGCCCTGTGTACGGGGGTGTGGGCCCTGTGTACGGGATGTGGGCGCTGTGTACGGGTATGTGGGCCCTGTGTACGGGATGGGGGCCCTGTGTACGGGATGGGGGCCCTGTGTGGGCGCTGTGTACGGGATGGGGGCCCTGTGTACGGGATGGGGGCGCTGTGTACGGGCCCTGTGTACGGTATGGGGGCCCTGTGTACGGGGTGTGGGCGCTGTGTACGGGATGGGTGTGTACGGGGTGTGGGCGCTGTGTACGGGGTGTGGGCGCTGTGTACGGGGTGTGGGCCCTGTGTACGGGATGTGGGCCCTGTGTACGGGGTGTGGGCCCTGTGTACGGGTACGGGGTGTGGGCCCTGTGTACGGTATGTGGGCGGGGTATGGGGGCCCTGTGTACGGGGTGTGGGCCCTGTGTACGGGGTGTGGGCGCTGTGTACGGGGGTGTGGGCGCTGTGTACGGGGGGTGTGGGCGCTGTGTACGGGATGTGGGCGCTGTGTACGGGGTGGGGGCGCTGTGTACGGGTGTACGGGATGTGGGGCTGTGTACGGGATGGGGCGCTGTGTACGGGATGTGGGCCTGTGTACGGGATGTGGGCCCTGGCCCTGTGTACGGGATGGGGGCGCTGTGTACGGGATGGGGCCCTGTGTACGGGATGGGGGCCCTGTGTACGGGATGTGGGCGCTGTGTACGGGATGGGGGCGCTGTGTACGGGATGGGGGCGCTGTGTACGGGATGTGGGCGCTGTGTACGGCACAGATCTCTGGTATTATTGGAGGACATCCCCCCCCCCCCCCGGCCCCCGGAGTATTGCACTCATAGTAGGACTATTTCCTGATTTCCGGAGTGTCCCCGGAGTCCTTCTCCCCTCCCAGGGGCCACAATTACCGGCCACTATTTCCAAATCCGTAGCTCAGGAGACGTTTCCTGTATGAAGGACGGCTCATTTTTCAGGCTTTCGGGGTCCTGTAGTTCCTTTCTTCTTGGGGACCTTCTCCTGAAAGTGGATATAAAGCATCACGGACAGTTCTCGGGACGGCGACATGTACGAAATCTGCATGGGTCCACAATCAGTCCGTTCTCTCTGGTGTCACAGAGAACTGTAGTGTAGGGGTTCTCCTTCCCGGAGTCCTCAGGACTGATCAGCCGGAGTATTTCCACCACTGACACCAATAACATTGACCGTCTCATTACAATGACATGTGAAAGGATTAGACGAGTGAACATGTTGTCCCTGAAGTTGATGTGATGAAGAAGCACAAGTGTGAGGATTGAAGGGACTCTGACAAGGACCAAATTGTATGTCTAGACGGGTCAGAGCAACTCCAACGCTGCAGCTCTTGAGGGGTGTTCCCAGTCTGCGGTGGTCAGGACCGACCCATAGTGGTCCAAGGAAGGAGAACCGGCCAACCAGTGGCAGGGTCCTGGGTGTCCACAGCTTAATGATGGAGGTGGGGTGGGGGGGGAAGGATATAAATCCAACCTCCATCCTCCAGGTGTCCCGGCTCCTCCCCTTCAGTCTTGCACTGGTGTACCGGCTCCTCCCCTTCAGTCTTGCACTGGTGTACCGGCTCCTCCCCTCCAGTCTTGCATAGTGTAGCCTCCTCCCCTTCAGTCTTGCACAGGTGTATCGGCTCCTCCCCTTCTTTCTTGCACAGGTGAACCAGGTCCTCCCCTTCAGCCTTGCACAGGCGTACCGGCTCCTCCCCTTCTTTCTTGCACAGGGTGTTACAGCTCCTCCCCTTCAGTCTTGCACAGGTGTACCGGCTCCTCCCCTTCAGTCTTGCACAGGTGTACCGACTCCTCCCCTCCAGTCTTGCACAGGTGTACCGGCTCCTCCCCTCCAGTCTTGCACAGGTGTCCCCGGCTCCTCCCCTCCAGTCTTGCACAGGTGTCCCGGCTCCTCCCCTCCAGTCTTGCACAGGTGTCCCGGCTCCTCCCCTCCAGTCTTGCACAGGTGTCCCGGCTCCTCCCCTCCAGTCTTGCACAGGTGTCCCGGCTCCTCCCCTCCAGTCTTGCACAGGTGTCCCGGCTCCTCCCCCTCCAGTCTTGCACAGGTGTCCCGGCTCCTCCCCTCCAGTCTTGCACAGGTGTCCCGGCTCCTCCCCTCCAGTCTTGCACAGGTGTACCGGCTCCTCCCCTCCAGTCTTGCACAGGTGTCCCGGCTCCTCCCCTCCAGTCTTGCACAGGTGTCCCGGCTCCTCCCCTTCAGTCTTGCACAGGTGTCCCGGCTCCTCCCCAAGAATGAATCGGCTTCCTCTGATGTCACCGCACACTGGGAGCTTCTCACAATGTCCATTAGAAGCTGCAGCCACTCAGATAGAGCTCCGCCCCATTTCCTGTCTGGAGGACGTCCAGCATCATCTAGCACATTCCTCCCCAGCCTGACTGCCCCTGGCCCCACCCCCTCATTCATTGGATTTCAGTTCTTCCAATCATGGAGGCTCAGCATCACATGTGGGTGTTACCTATGGAAATATAGACTGCCTAGGAACGCCCACTCCTCCAGACTGACACCCATCCATCAAGGCTTTCTGATATTTGCATAACTCCTCCCACTGCTTGTGTCAGGACTGGGGGCTCTTGAGAGGAGGACTGAGGTGGGGGGCTGTGATGTTTTCAGGAAGCTATGTACAGCCCCCTGATGGCTCCTCCCACTGCCTGCATTGCATAGAGAAGCAGAGAGACCCAGTGTTAGCATCGCTGGGACTATAACAAGGTATGTAATAAAAAATCACACCTTGCTTGCCCCTCCCACTAGCCAGGATCTGCCTGTATTGCATAGAGAAGCACATGGACTCAGTGATGATATCACTGGGACTATAATAAGACATGTAACGAAAACCGCACCCTGCTGGCCCCTCCCACCAGAATTGCATAGAGAAGCGCAGGAACCCAGTGATGAAATCACTGGGACTATAATAAGATATGTAGCTTGCTGGCTCCTCCCACCGGCATTGCATAGAGAAGCGCTGGGACCCAGTGATGACATCACTGGGACTATAATAAGATATGTAACGAAAACCGCACCCTGCTGGCCCCTCCCACCAGCATTGCATAGAGAAGCACAGGGACCCAGTGATGACATAGCTGGGACTATTATAAGATTTGTAACAAAAACTGCACCCTGCTGGCCCCTCCCACCAGCATTGCATAGAGAAGCACAGGGACCCAGTGATGACATCACCGGGACTATAATAGGATATGTAACAAAAACGCACCTGCTGACCCCTCCCACCAGCACTGCATAGAGAAGCACAGGGACCCAGTGATGACATCACCGGGACTATAATAGGATATGTAACGAAAACCGCACCTGCTGACCCCTCCCACCAGCACTGCATAGAGAAGCACAGGGACCCAGTGATGAAATCACTGGGACTATAATAAGATATGTAGCTTGCTGGCTCCTCCCACCAGCATTGCATAGAGAAGCACTGGGACCCAGTGATGACCTCACTGGGACTATATTAAGATATGTGATGAAAACTGCACCTGCTGACCCCTCCCACCAGCACTGCATAGAGAAGCGCAGGGACCCAGTGATGACATTTCATCCGAAGTCCCGATTTCCCCCAGACGTGCCGATTTACGTCTGGTGTGTGAGAGATAACATCGGGACAAGTGAGACGTTACTGCTGGCAAACCCTGAGCAATGGGCACAGGGTGGGGGAGGGGGGGGGCGGGGTCTCAGTTCAGTGACGACATGAAAACCTGTAAAGCATTGTCCTCATATCTGTCGAACATCTGGAGGTCTCTTTAGGTCGGAGGACCCTTTTCTGTGTTTTTATTGGACGGTTTGTATCGTTCTATATCCGATGATGGCCCCCCCCCATCCCCCCCCCCTCGCAATCTGTCCTCCATCTTGGATAGATTCGGCGCGGCAGCGGAGCTGATAATTATTGTTCGGCATCGATCTCTCCTCAGACTCGTTATCTGCGTCCCGCGCCGGAGCAGGCGCCTCTCTCCTCTATTGAATAAGCCCTCGGGGTTCGCTCAATTAATTCCATCCAAACAACGCGGCTGTTCTGATAGACGTGCGATAGCGGCCGCTGCCGCCTCAACCTCCGCCACAAAGTCATCCTTGTTTTTCTTTAAAGGGGAACCCCGGGTCAAGGGAAAAAAAAAAAAAAAGGCGCCTTTGGGAGCATCTGTTTTGTACCGGATGCTGCGATCCTCTGCAAACTCTTCGGATGATTCGCTGAGCGAGACTCCGTTTTCTGAGCCTGCAGTGACAGGAATCCTCCCCTTGACACGCCATTTGCAGCAACTCCCTAGCCCAGGTCATGTAACAAGAGGCTGCAGTCCTACCCAGAAGCACTCAGAAAAGCCTGCTGGATCTGGTTGCGCTGCTGCGATGGATTTGGGTAAGTGGACTTTCTGATTTGAGCGCAGCTGCGGCGTTTGCGGGATGGCGCCGGGCGGTCGGGTCGCGGGTTAAATGTAGGCGTTGCCCGGCGTTATGGAGGACATGTGACTTTACTTCGGACGGCTCTGGATTCTGAAAATCGATCTGTTCCAGGAAATGCTCCAGTCGCCACTTTGCCATGGTAACCTCACTAATGTCATTATCTGGGGGGGTACAGAACCCTCCACACTGGGCAATGGCAGAATACCTACCTAGAGGAGACTGCTAGAGACTGGCACCTACCTAGAGGAGACTGCTAGAGACTGGCACCTACCTAGAGGGGACTGCTAGAGACTGGCACCTACTAGAGGAGACTGCTAGAGACTGGCACCTACCTAGAGGAGACTGCTAGAGACTGGCACCTACCTAGAGGGGACTGCTAGAGACTGGCACCTACCTAGAGGAGACTGCTAGAGACTGGCACCTACGTAGAGGAGACTGCTAGAGACTGGCACCTACGTAGAGGGGACTGCTAGAGACTGGCACCTACACAGAGGGGACTGCTAGAGACTGGCACCTACCTAGAGGAGACTGCTAGAGACTGGCACCTACGCTAGAGGGGACTGCTAGAGACTGGCACCTACGCAGAGGGGACTGCTGGAGACTGGCACCTACGCAGAGGGGACTGCTAGACTGGCACCTACGCAGAGGGGACTGCTGGAGACTGGCACCTACGCAGAGGGGACTGCTGGAGACTGGACTGGCACCTACGCAGAGGGACTGCTGGAGACTGGACCTACGCAGAGGGGGGACTGCTAGAGACTGGCACCTACGCAGAGGGGACTGCTGGAGACTGGCACCTACGCAGAGGGGACTGCTAGAGACTGGCACCTACGCAGAGGGGACTGCTAGAGACTGGCACCTACGCAGAGGGGACTGCTAGAGACTGGCACCTACGCAGAGGGGACTGCTAGAGACTGGCACCTACGCAGAGGGGACTGCTAGAGACTGGCACCTACGCAGAGGGGACTGCTAGAGACTGGCACCTACCTAGAGGAGACTTGTAGAGACTGGCTGGCACCTACGCAGAGGAGACTTGTAGAGACTGGACTGCCTACCTACGAGAGGAGCCCCCCCCCATGTGCCTACCCCTCACCCCTGGGTACCTACCTCTACTGGGTACCTACCCCTCCTCCGGTACTTACCGCTCACCCCTGGGTACCTACCCCTCCTTCGGTACCTCCCCTTCCCCGGTACCTACCCCCCCCCCCCAGTACTCCCCAACACGGTGTATAGTGAGCAGTGGGGTCTGCAGGCAGCCCGCCCGTCCTGTGTGGGGGGATCAGCTCCATCCCCTCCCCCCCACCCGCCCCCCAGACACACATACATTATCCCGCCTGACAAACCCATTATAGATGGTTACTTAGCAGCCCCGCCGCAGTCGCATTAATCTCCGCCGCCGTGAAATCCCAAATCCGGTTTTGGCCGCAAGCTGAGGCTCCAACGTTTCATAAATAAATCCGCCGCCTTAAAGGGGAACTCCACTGTATCCTCCCAGCGATAAATACTGAGCACGCACGTACATGGAGACTAGGCAATCTCCGGGCAGGAAGTATTCCACGCATGTCGTCGCCAAGATGGCCGCCCACGTGGGGATAATACATTGTATGATAGAAATCGATACAAAGTATCTAAAAGACAAATCCTTGGTGAGAAGTATAATTCCCGGGATCTGATCACAGACACATAGATCAACCTGAGATAGATGGAGGGATCCCTCGAAATGGGCGGAGCTGCTCAATCCAGAGCAGGTGACAAGGCATCCAATCAGATTCCGGTAATAAAAATGGGAATATCAATAATGGAAACAATGTATCACGTCACAGGCAGTATAGCGCCATCTCTGGCCAGGATTTGTAGACAAGGAAGTATTCCCCGCGTGTTACTGGCAAGATGGCCGATCAACCTGAAATAGATGAAGGGATCCCCCGAAATGGGCGGAGCTGCTCAATCCAGAGGTGGCCAATCAGATTCCAGTAATAGATGTGGGAATGTTAGTAATGGAAACAATGTATCGCGTCACAGGCAGTATAGCGCCATCTCTGGCCAGGATTTGTAGACAAGGAAGTATTCCCCGCGTGTTACTGGCAAGATGGCCGATCAACCTGAAATAGATGAAGGGATCCCCCGAAATGGGCGGAGCTGCTCAATCCAGAGGTGGCCAATCAGATTCCAGTAATAGATGTGGGAATGTTAGTAATGGAAACAATGTATCGCGTCACAGGCAGTATAGCGCCATCTCTGGCCAGGATTTGTAGACAAGGAAGTATTCCCCGCGTGTTACTGGCAAGATGGCCGATCAACCTGAAATAGATGAAGGGATCCCTCGAAATGGGCGGAGCTGCTCAATCCAGAATCAGTGACATGGCGTCCAATCAGATTCTGGTAATAAAAATGGGAATATCAATAATGGAAACAATGTATCACGTCACAGGCAGTATAGCGCCATCTCTGGCAGGAGTAATCCCCGCCAATATGGCCGCCCACGTGGACAATAAAATGTATAAATCGATACAAAGTGTTAGAAGGCACAAATCCTCGGTGAGATATAAGTCCCGGGATCTGATCACAGACACATAGATGGCTGATCAATCTGAAAAGATGAAGGGATCCCTCAAAATGGGCGGAGCTGCTCAATTCAGAGGTGGCCAATCAGATTCCAGTAATAGATGTGGGAATGTTAGTAATGGAAACAATGTATCACGTTAGAGGCAGTATAGCTCCATCTCTGGGCAGGATTTCCAGACAGGAAGTATTCCCCGCGTGTTACTGGCAAGATGGCCGATCAACCTGAAATAGATGAAGGGATCCCCCGAAATGGGCGGAGCTGC